CACACACACACACACATAATATATACATATACATAAATACATACTTACATACATACATATGTACACATATACATTTATACATATAATTTAGTGCGCATTCGTTCCTGCTATATAAAAAAGTAGGGAGGGCTATACAGCAGAACAGCATAGCTGAATACATATATGATCACATAGTAGGTCGCACCACAGTGACCTCATACCATTAACCAATGCCTGCCTACAGCTCTCCCGTGTAATGACTCCCACGACAAACCCGGGGAAGCGGTATCTGAGGTCCACAAACTGTCCTAATAAGGCAATTTCCAGGGTCGAGGATGTGTAGGCAAACACACGCATATTCGTCTCCACAATCAGGAAGCCTTCTTTCTGGCTGTCGCCCAAGGCATCCATCCCGTGAGACATGGCTATCGATAATCTATTTATAGAACAGATGATATAGTGTAAGGACATGTATGGATAGATGTGTGTGCGAAGACAAGTATATCTATCTTCACAATCGGTCAGTCTTCTTTCATCTTGGTTGTTGCCGAATGTATAGCAATATGAAATCTATTTGTAGAAGAGATGGTGCAGTAAAATACTACATAATCACAGTCGCGTCTGCATAGATGAGCTTACTGGTCTCCATAACCAGGCTGCGACATGGCTTTCGAATAGCTTGTGTATGAGAAAAAATCGATCTATGGAGAGGATAGGGCATATGTCAATCTATTTAAGTATTATCTGCTGATAAGACAGTGCATCTATGCTTATTCTCAATTATAGTCACTTTCAGGTGTGAATTCTGTCAACTGCTTAGGACCTGCATATGCACTTATCGCGAACCCGATTTAAACCACTTCATACACGAGGTAGTCAAAGCCAGATGGAATGTTCACAGCATAAGCATATATATATATATATATATTTATATACATACATACATACATACACACACACACACACACACATATATATATATATATATATATGCATATACATATACATACACATACATAAACACATACACATACACAGACATATATATATATATATATATATATATATATTATCATATACATACACATACACATACACAGACACATACACAGACACAGACACAGACATATATATATATATATTGCACATAGACACGGACACAAACACAGTCACAGACACAACACAACACAAACACAAACACAAACACAACACAAACACAAACACAAACACAAACACAAACACAACACAAACACAACACAACACAACACAACACACAACACAACACAAACACAACACAAACACAAACACAAACACAAACACAAACACAAACACAGACACAGATATACATATATATATACACACGCACACACACACACACATGTATATATATAAATATATATATATGTATATAGATATACAGATGTAATCGGGAACACTTGCCTGGTAGGATAAAATTTCGGGTCTGATTTTGATTTTCGATACGCCAGCCCAAACCCACGCAAAATCTGGAGCATTTTCTGCTGCACTGGGGTCAGTGATGACACGAGGTATGCTTGTCCCAATTTGGAGAAACTCAGCTGAAATTGGAACTTCAACACTTCTACTAAGTCCATATTCATATCTTTCACCAGGTCGAAGAATTGCAGCATAAAAAGCCACACCTGCATGCATATAATTTGGATTCGTCAGATGTACGGGTAGGTAGACACATAAAGATAGTGACGGAATGCTTGTGGTGGGGTATGAGTATATATTTATGTACATGTCGGTGATTATTTAAATGGTAGGCGTTGAGCATACTCCATCTATGGTGCAACAGAAGCAAAAAAAACCTGGATGGTGATTGGTTGCCATGGAAACCTTGAATTCTTTCGTTGTCATGATGAACTGGTCTTGTAACATTGAACGAAGGTTGGTGAACGGTCAGGGTAACTTACAAACGAAAATTCGTGGATGTGACGTAAAACATTGGACTAATATTGAACAGAAGCGCAACCGCACACATTGCCAGTAATAAATTGCAACAGAATTTAGAAACATTTTGAGTGCGACATTTTACAAACACGCCGCGCGTAAACACAACTACACACATAAACATGCACAAAATAAGCACACAGTAAACACTTACACAAATACAAACACTCACACGAAGACCACACAAACAGCATACACACACATGCACAAGATACGCACCCAGGAAAAAAAACACTTACACAAACATAAACACAAAGACCATACACACATACAGACACAAACATGCACAAGATACGCACCCAGGAAAAAAAACACTACACAAACATAAACACAAAGACAACACTCACTACATAGACCACACACAAACATGCACAA